CTGCACATGGCGAGCGCTCCTCGCGGTCGGGGGAGCAGCCCGCCTGCTGCGGGTGGCAAGTTTCTATCGACTGCTCTCTGTGGTGGTGCCGCGTGCCCGGGAGTTGCCGCAGCCTCAACACTTTCCGTTTCGGGCACGCGCGCTTCTGTTCACCCGTTTTGGGCACGCTTTGAATTTATCAGCACTCGGCTTGGGCTGACGTGGAAAATGGAAATGGGCTCTGCTTTTGGCTTGATGGCTCTTTTGGCACCCTTTGCATTAGGGTGGAAAGCAACAGACCCCAAATTCATTTGAATTTAAAATAAAATAAAATAAACTGTTGCTTTAAAAAAAGTGGATTTTCTCCAAATTATTGTGACATTTTACTGTTCTAAATAATTAAATTGGTTTTGCTTTTAAACCAGAAACTTTTAATAATCAAAAAGGGCAAACTATGTTTTAATTCTCCAATTTAAAGTTGAAATTTTGACATTTTAATTTGTTTTCCGAGAATTGGTTTTCTTGCTCAGTTTCTGAATCCAAGTTAAAATTTCTTTAGAAGATGTTTTATTTATTTAATTATATAATTTTTCATTCTTGCATAACATTTTGAAAGATGAATTTCGCATTAGAGATGACTTTTTAACTAAAAAAACTTTAGCTTAGCGGAAAGGGTGAATTTTCTCCAAATTTGCAAGCCTTTTTATATAAATTTTATTTAATTAAAAACCGTTTTGTATTACAATAATTCTCTAGCTATTTCTTAATTTTTTTATTTCATCCTTGCAGGACGTTTTAAAATATTTTCCTTTTTTATAAAAAGTCACGTTTCAGAGCTTCTAAAATAGTCTGTTGTGACATATTTTCTCATGAACTCCTCTCTCATTAGAATTCATGAGTGGAGAGCAAATCAGAGCTCGCCGGTCGCTGCCAACGACCACTTTTGCAACAAGTCGGATGATTTGCATCGATTCGCGTTTGGCCGCGATGCAAAAATCATATTTCATCCAACACAAAGCGTCTCCAGAATACATTATCAACAGAGTCCAGATGTTGTGTGCCCTCTTGGCAGGCGCCGGAGGGCGTGAGCAGTAGTTCTCAATTTGGGCAAACCCCGGGGATGAAGCCGCAAACCGTTAAATTTATACGACGCTCGACGGTGTATTTTGCATTTTTATTCTGGCTCGCAATTTTCCAACCCAAATTGAAAAAGTTTCGCCTCGGAAATTACCAAGATGGACGGAAGCCGCAAGCAACTGACGCTTCAACTCTCAAGCAGACGTGAATTTGAGATGCTAATTTATTTGCCTATTTATTTGCTAATGCTTTCTAGCGCTACGTGTTTGTTTGTGCAAATAGGCTTAATGATGCACCTCAATTGTTACACATGGTAATTTGCCTGGCTGACAACTAAACGCAAACAATGGCGTGCACTGTAATTCAACGCAATTAAATCATCCCTGCAAAAGCTACAGCAAAATTGACCTTTTGTTCAACCGTGCTTTTACATTAGCTTGGGTGGCATTATTGATTAAAGTTATTTCTCGGGATGATTTTCAAGTGCCAAATTTGAAACTGAAAATTTTGATTTGATATAATTAGGAAATTTTCAATGCTGGTAAATTTAAAATATTTGAAATTCTATAGTTTCAAATATTAATTTTTTCGTATTGACCGTGAAGAATTAAAAATAATTTAAATAGTTAAATTTTTTTCATACTAACAATAAGTCACGTCTTAGCTAAAGAAAATTATATAAAATTTTAAAAAGCAGCTGCTTTCCTGCGCTTTTTGAAGCCTTTGTTCTGATATCAAGTTCTGTTGAGAAATCAAAGCGAGTGTTTCTCATTGTCGAGTAAGTGAGTCTCGGCTCAAGTGCCCTGGCCACCTATTCCTCAACCAGGGCACCAGACGGTGAGCACCGATTTGCCCGTGTCGCCATCTGGCGTCGTTCTCCAGCACCGAGCTGCCCTTTCAACTCCGAGAAACGCCGCACCGGTGGCGCTTTTCACTCGGAGGAATGCACAAAGTAACACAATTAAACACGCTCGTAAGCCTTACGAGTGCGATAATTTCCAGGCAAAAAAAAAGTGGTTTACTACGAAGCAAAGGTTGGAAAAGACAAAAAACAGGACTGATGAAAACAAATTCGCACTCGTAAATTTTGAAACCAACCATGACCTAACACAACACCACGTCCAGGTGCAACAGCTTTTTTTGCGATTCGAAGAAAAAATATTTTAATAACAATAATTTGCAATGCACAGAAGCACAAAAAATGAAAGAAAACCATTACGGCAACGGGAGTTGGGTGCAAAGTGATTTTTTTTAAGCTCTCAAAAGTCAGTGTATGGGTGACTTGCCGCTTTTGCCCCGACTGACTCAGCGCTCAAACAAAGACACGGTAATTTTCGTGGCCACATAAAAAGCAGGGATTGAGAAAAGCTGTACAGAATTGGGAGAAACAACGCAATGGAAAACGGCTAAAGGCAGCGAATTTTCGCAGCGTTTTTGGTGCTTACCTTCAACTTTTCCTGCTACAGAGGTGCCACGTGAAGGGGCAAGTGCGCGGGAAAAACATCACAAGAGAGAGTGCACAAATTATTATATCAATCACAAATTCGGGACATTACGAATCACAAAAGACTAGCAATAATTATTCATTTTGCAAAAATTACTTTAAATAAATTGATAGCAAATTTTTTTCCATTACTATCAGATTGAAATAATTTAAAGTGAGCAGATCAAAGGTCACGAATGCAAATCTAATTACTCGGCAGCTGCCAACAGAAACGAATTACGCGGAACTATCGAGCAGAGGGAAAATAATTTTAGTTCGAACATGAGCATTGCGCGCGGCTGGCTGGGAATTTGCATGTCAATCTGAAATCCTATACACCTGTCTGTCTGCCTGGCTTCGTTCGCTCGCCTTTAGTTCGTAATGATCATAATGTGTGCTTCTATGCCTCGAAACTAGCACACGTGAAAAGCTGAGGTTTTTATGCTCAGCGCAAGGCTACCGTCTTGCGATTGTCTCTCGGTTTCGGGTGACGCGAAAATCATTTGAAAGCTTCAACTTCATCTTTTTTTTTACTTACTTGAATTACCATTTACAATAAATAGGGCAGAACTACAAAACTTCATTTAAGTTATCAAGAGCTCCATAAAATCAATAAATAAATTAAAAAACTATTCAAAACGGCATGGTGCATATTTTTTTTGAGAGAAAATTAACATGATTAAATGGTGAAATAATTGGTTTTAGACTAGAATTTTAAAATAATTTATTTTTTCAATTATGAATGTCAACATTTCCCTAACTCATAAATAAAAATAATAAATAAGATAAAAATTATTTTTTTTTGGCAGTCAAAAGGATAAAAATAATATTTAAAAAGTTTATTTTTATAAATGAAAATTATAAAAATTCACAAGTAAAGAAAAAAATGTGATATAAATAGAATATGAAATATAATTGTTATAAATTAATTACTATAAAGTTCAAAGACGGCAAACTTTCGCACATGCAGCGTGAATTACTTCCTCTCAAAGCAGGAAACGCCAGGCTGACCAAAAAGTGAAAACGCCGCCGAGCCGCTTACTCTTGTTCTGCTCGCGGATTATTTCTCAAGATTATAGAACTACCGACGGATTCTCGCTGTTAATTTCACCGCGCGTTATTTTAACATGAGCTTGTAATTCGTGGCATTTGCAGGCAGGTCACACGCGCACAATAGTGTGTAGTCGCATGTCCAGTCTTTCTCTCTCTCTCGTCGGAATAGACCAAACTTGGGCCGCGAATTAAAAAAGCATGCCCCGTCGGCAATGGCCAGACGCGTTTCCCCGTTGCCTTTTCTCGCTCGATCGTTACAGCGAATAATAAAAAAAAAAAAAAAAAAAAATGAGAAGCCTAATGATGTTCTCCTTGAAGTGAATGCATTCGTATGTCGACCGACCGACTGCTGGTCTTAATTTCCAGCCTTCCCAGAAAGGACCAAGGGCTTGTCCACTATGCACGTCCTGACTTGGATCACGTGCCATGCGTTCTGTCTTTGTGATGCAAATTGTTTTGTTTCTATTAATCACAGAAGACTGCTGTCACTTTCTTTCCTTCTCAATAATAAAAAAAAAACCAGTAGGACAGTTCTATTGTTTCAGTTCTGAGAAATATAATAGGCGAGAAATTTTCCTCAATGGCTTTAAATAGCATTTATGAAAATGAATGCTTCTTTTGTCAATTGGAATTTCTATGAAAGTTCTTTTGTTACATATTTTGACAGATGCAAATGAATTTCATTCAAATTGTTATTTATTTTCATCTGACAAAGTTGTGAATTGATTTGGAATGGAAATAATTAAGAAAATTAGCTGCTCTGTTAAAAATGGAGCAAAAATACTGACTTTTTAAAGCAGTAAAATGATTGTGTTTGTTGTGAGAGGTATTTATGTTGAACAACATTCTTTTTCGTTTTAGGTCATTTGTCCAAACAACCTGAACTTTCTCGCGCACACATCACTCGCAAAAACTGCTAATTAAGATATTTAACGGCCGCTCTCAACTTCTGAGCCGCCAAAAGTGGTGTTATTTAGACGAAAATCTATATATGTGTTCAAACTTTTATGCGTCAGTAGCCATAAATGGTCAGCTTTTAATAATAATTTACAGCCACCTCGGAATTATTATTAAACGTAATGCTCGGACACGGTAATTGCTCGGAGCATTAATTAGCGGCGAAAATGAGTAATTAATCCATCGCGTACGCGGATCGATCGAAAATTGTTGCTTCACTCGCCGTTCTGCTCCCTTCTTAGGTTTTGGTGAAGCTTTCTCAACTTGTAATTAATCTTTCGGGAAAAATTCCAGCGAGTTGCGAAAAATCGGTTTCTTTTGACAGGAGATTTGAATGCGCGGAATTCGCTACGCAAATAATGGCGATTACGGTAACGATTTTGGTCGTGAGCCGGCCCCGAGGGCAGCTGCGCGTCGAAGAACGAGAGGCGAAGAGATAAGCGTGACTCACCTGGAAGTGCAGAATGATGGTCCAGATGAGACCCAAGATGAGCTTGGGATTCCCGTCAACAATGTCCTCGGCGCGGATGTTCACCAGCTTTATCTGTAATTGGTAAAATTATATTATTAAACGGTGGTGAGATGTATAATTTTTTTTATGAATTGTGGTGTGATTCAGTGTTTTAAATTGAATAATAAGCTACGTCAAATTAAACATGAATCCACACTACCATATACATGCAAAAGGATTTTGTATTCTTGAACTATTTTTAATCATCAATGTTTCAGAGTAATTATTATTATTATTTATTCTTCTCAGTCAATACAAAAAAATTTAAATTTGAAGTAAATAAAAGAAGGAGTTTACAACTAGCAGATGTCAATGCTGAAACGCCAGACATCAAAAGAGACTCGGCCGCTTATTTAATCAGATTAACCATATTATTTACAACATATTGTTTGATTTTAATCGTCAAATTAATAAATTTCAATCCAAATAGATTATATCTCAAATCAAATCCTAGAAATCTCCCAAGGGTCTTGCACATATATTCAGGTTTGCCAACGTTATGTTAATATGGAAAGGAAGACTGAATAATAAAACTTATTTGAAATAAAAATGTATGAACCTTTTAAATTATTATGATGGTTTTACAATTAAAAATATAAAATTATATTTAAAAATTAAAACTATGAATATTTATAAATACATTGTTAAAACTAATTCTTTAATGCTTTATTTTAAATAAATAAAACTAACGCTACTTAATGTTGTAATTTAAAAGCATTAGTTTGAATTATGCAGACTGTCTGTTGTACAAAAACGGTCAAAATAAAACGCACTTCATTTGCCACACATACAAAGTCGTTTGATTCTGCATTATTGCTCCAATCTGATTTATATTTATTCGCAGACAAAAATAACAAGCGCTCGTTACTGTAAAAGCTCGAATTTCTCTGCATGACGATAAACAACGAATTTCGCAGCCGGCAGCGTAATTTTAATGCATCCACCCGCTCCACAGTCTGCAGCAATAAGATGATCGCTAGGCAGCAATTACGCGCCGATAGGAGTCTCATTTACCCAATTATCCAATTACCGAGTAATTTCATTGTACACAAAGTATTGGCCGACTTGGTGAAAAAAAATTTGCTGTAGTTGTAATGCGATCCAATGGAGCTGAGAGAGCAAAATTTTCAAAGGCATTTACTTTTACGACGAAAGCATGTTATGCACTTAATGATTATTGAATTCAATTAGTAGCGGTTGTTGCAGCGACGTGTGGAATTTAAGTTAACTTAATTGACAAAAAGTGCTGTTGTAAAATTTCTTATGATGCAATATATCAAGAAGACTGCTTTTTGTTTAATAAAAAAACTAATTTAGTAAAATGATTTTTCCCTTGGCCTAAATTTCTTATGGTAAATTTAGGGTAAAATATTTAATATAGCTTTTATTAATTGTTGAGTTGAAATAAATTCGTTATCTTTAGTTTTATCAAATGAAACGGATTTTAACCAAATTATTTCTTCCCTCATAAAATTAAAATGAGCAATTTTTGAATTATTGCTCATCTTTTTAAGATTCTTAAAAACAAAGCCTAATTTTTTTGCAAACTGAATAAATTCAAAATTTAACATGTTGTTCTGTTTAGCGATAATTGCTGGTTCAAACGAATCCATTCATTCGCAGTCAATTTGCAATTGCTACGAAATTTACAAGGTGCGAAGCTAATTAAGAAAAGTAGGCCTCGATTTGCATCATTTGTATTCACGCATTGTTCGCGTACGGCCAGAGGGAGGCGTCAAAACATTATGCGAAGAGGTCGAGGCTCAACGTTCCAGTTGCAGAGAAATTATAAATTAAATTATGCCACTTGTTGTTGTTGTCGAGGCTGCTTTATTTTATTTATTGTGCGGGTTTAATGAAATCGTGTGCGATTGTGTTTATTCGGTTGACTGTTAAAAACGAGTTGACCAACTCACCTTTCTGTAGCGCAAAAAGTCGAGCACCACTTGCACGTTCTGCAGCATGTGGAATCGCAGGCGACCTCTCTCTCGCGGCTAAAACGAAACAAACAAAACGTAAAAATGGAAATTTTATCTCGAGCGGCTTTTCAATGCAAATTCGGATTGTTAGAGATAAAAAAAATATTAAAATGAGTAGGATGAGTCAGACCTCAAGTTGAGTCTGGCGATATAGTTGAAGGGGCTCTATTTAATAAAGTGGGGAGATAAAATTAAGAGCTGAAGAAAGTCTAACAAGAAAACAAACAATTTTTATTAAAAGTAAATCTTTCGAAGAAAGGAAAGGTTTTTCAAATATTTTATTTTTTAAACAAAAAACTTTGATCAAAAGTTATTTCATGCAAATATTTTCATTTGTAAACAGTAAGAAATAATCTTAATCTAAATCAATTTGGTGAAATTTTAAAATTTTATGACAAAAAATCAACAAACAAAATTAATTCAACCTCTGGATCTCTTTTGTTTTATGCAAATAAGCGATTAGCACATCGGCTAATTGGAGATGTGCGTGTCGCGAGATTTTCCAACCGTGTGGAGCTGTAAACGAAACGTCTGCGGCTCTCGTCGGCCTTGCCTTTAAGGATAAAGCAATTACGCCCGGTTGCATAACAGGCGCGGCGGACGCGAAAGAAACGCGGCTTATTTAATTATGTGAATTATTTTTATTTATTTGTCGCCACACTTGTGAGTTTGAACGTGGCTCATGAACTTATGAACGAACGGTGCACGTCTGTTTTTATTGAAAGTGACGCAGCGCGGCGGGAGATAATGGAATTTGCATTAACACACGCGCGGATGCTGAGGATTAAATTAAGCCGATGACTTCACACCTCTCCGACACGGATTTCAGTAATTAATTATTAAATGATTTCACCGGCACACTCATAATATAATACACTGGCTTACTTGAACTTTTCTCTTTAGTGCAATTTAAAAAAAAAAACTGAAAATTTTATATTAAAATTACTTTTTGTGCTGGAATTCAGAGATAAGAGAAACTGTATTTGAAATTTCACACTGCAACTTACAATTAATTTTGCCTTCTGCCAGAGAACTCCCTACATTTAAAAGGAGACAAAATTTATTTAAAAAAAAATGCTATTTTAATTTTACTTATGAGTATTATATTGATCAAATAATCAAAAATCAAAACTAGACAAGTCCCAACGACTCAAAAAATGGAAAAGATTAATTTCTTAATCAATACTATATAAAAATATCATTAGCCTCCAACCTCGCATATATGAAATAAATGACTTTATTTTTAATAAGATAAGAATAATTATTTTAAAAACATATAAATCATCAGTTAATGCAATATGAAATTAAAATAGAAAAAATATTTAAAAAAGTAAGAAAAATATAATTATAATTTTGATTGTAAATTGATTAACAAAAAATATTGGTTATATAGTTTAATAGATTTAGAAATTAATTTTGAATTATTAAAAAAGTTTCAAAACCGATTACAAAACCGCAAATCTCAAGCATACCGAGGCTGACGTGTACATAAAGTTTGTCATCGTTGGAATGCACATATAAATAAATTAACGACGAGTTTGTCCAGCCAGATCCAGAGGCCGAACAAGGCAATTAAAATGCGAGGCAAAGAGAATCTTTACTCACCAGGTGCTCGCCGGAGAGGACTTCGAGCAGCGAGATGAGGCTGTGGCCATCTCGCAGATCCTCGAATAAATCATTCACGTGACGGTTCGCCTGCAACAAAAAGCACAGCCAAAGGTCAGCGACGCGTTTTCATTGAAGTCGAATCGCAATGGATGAAAAAAAATGTGAAGTAAAAAAAATGGTACTTTGTCAAACGGTGATGAAAACAAAAAGAGGGAGACGAAAAATAATTTTTTGATCAAGTGAGAGGGGTGACATCACCAGTGACGTCACTCAGGTGCTTATCGACGGTAATAATGTGACTAAGTGAAAAGGGATATTTTGTGCGGAAGGCCGAGGGATGAGGTCAAGAATGACGTGTTGAGCAACATGTCAGACATTCTTTAACTAATGAGTTGCAAAGAAATACTGACCAGAGAGGACAAGAACATTTATTTAAAGAAATTTTTACTCACAATTGATAATAATTTAATAAATTCAAACATGCAACTTTTTTTCCAATGAAATTTAATTTTATTGAGGTTAATTTTACAATAATTATATTAAATAACAGAAAACTGCCACTCTAGTTTAAAAATTTAAGTTAAATTATGTTTTTAATTAAGAGAAAAGATTATTTTCATTGCAAGTCTCTGATTACTAGGGGGAAATAAATTTAACTGTCGTCGATCATGCATTAATAATTCACACTGATGATTCACTTTAAGAATGACACGACTTAAATTGTGACAATGAGAACGTACATACACGCCGGTGTACAATAAAATAACACAAGGTGATGATTGAAGAAAAAAAAACTCAACGCAAACAGACAACAAAACGTGAAGTATGTGAATTGGACAACATCAGCAACAACAACAAAATTAATATAATGAGAAGATGATTCGTGTGGTGTCGAACGGAAAGATGTGGCGAAACTAATTGCCACATTACCGTTTCGTAATTAGCATAAAATCCACAACTAATCACGGCACAAACAGGAAACAGTGTTGCATATTTTGCACGTTATTTTTCAGCCTGACGCGTGAAGTATTAAGAGTCTCAGCCTGAAAACCTTGGAAAGCCTACAAGATTTAAAAAAGCGTTTCAAAAGTAGTGATGAATTAATAATTGAATATGCCATGCTGCGACTAATGTCTAGGAAAAATCTACCAGAAAATTCAAAAATTGTCCACACACTGCTGAATCAGACTTACGGTTGGAGAGCAGCAAGGTCCACTCGTATTTGAACACACGTGGAGACACGTGTAGGTCTGCAAGAAATAACTACCCTCAGAAAAAACAAACCACCACCAAAACCACGGGGAAGGAAACGGAAAACATATTTACGAGTTTAATTAAAAAAAGGGTGAGGTTCTTTTTTAATTGATTTTTTTTCGTTAATTACATTTTGCTCAAATGATAGTGAATTTTTTTGTGAAAATTTTTTAGTATTAAATTTCTTTTAAAATTATTATTGAAGTTGACTTGCAGAAAAATATTTGGAAATCTGCTGAACCAGACCCTTTTTTTTGCAGTATGAATAAAATGACACTTATTTGAAGAATATAATAAGTATGTTTATGCAATGTACACAATTCTATACGTAGGTGGAACACAAAGGTGGGTGGATTAACGATTCATTCAAGACAATCAACTTGGCACCAGAGAATCGTAAAATTCCTGCATTTATATGTAAATTACAACGCGTGTGCGAAAATGATTTATCGAGCTGCCGAGAAGATAATTGACATTTTTTTACTATTCAATTCCAAGCCAGATTATTTCTGTTTCATCGAGTTATCGTTTTCGCAACTTACGATGCGTGTAATTATCTCACATAAACTGGATCTCATCAATCACTTTTGTTGTCGTCGTTTTTTTTTACATAGCCACGCAGTCAGTTGCAAAAAATTCAAGCCACATTTCGCAGGCATGATTTATAATGAAGGGGAATAAAACGTTAATTAATTTTGAGATTAAAAAATAAGCAAGCTGATCAAAAAGTGAGTCAAATTTAGTGACGATAAATTTCCTCCAATACAGGCTTGGGGTTAAAAAAAAACGAGCAAATTGGAGTGATGGTTGCGCTGACTCATTTGGTACGGCATTAAAATTCATGAGGGAACGAATCAATGCATTCGAATGAACAAATCTTTCCATGCGGGACGCAGAGTTGATTGACTTTAGGGACTCGCGTTGTCTCAACATTGATTTCTTTTACACAGAAAAAATTGCACTGACCATGGGTGAGAACAATTAAAATACTGACCTGAATATATTTCCAGTGCTGCATGCAAAAAACATAGGAGGAACAAATAAATACAAATAATTATTTTTTATCGGAATAAAAATTGACGGAATCTTGTTGGTTTTTTATTTCAATTGTTTACTTTTACTTTTAATAAAGAATCAAAACTACAAAATACGTTTTGCATGCCACTAAATTAAGATGGTTTGTGATTCTGGTGCGAAAATTTTAATGAACTTCTCTCCCCCGTGTAAAATGAGATAAGGCAGCTTGAATAAATAAGTATCCCACTTGATTTTGAGTGTTTAATGAATCGATAATGCTCAACAATATTTTTGGCCACATCAAACAGAATCGCCGCCGCCGGAGCGGAAAATTTATTACTGCTCAAACTTTTTAATTAAAAATTCCACTAACTTGTTTTCTCCGGTCGGTGGAGTCGTGTATAAATATTTGAATCCACAAAAGGCTAAATATAGATTCTTCTGAACTCGTGAGTTTAATTCCGCGAGAGGAAGACAAAGCGGGTTTTAATGTGTGGGTGAGTCGTGGAGAATCGCCGGATAGTACGTAAGGGCGTTGGTTTCCGCACTATGGTAATTCGCAGTACGGGGAGTTTCTGTCAAATCGGCCGCTGCTAATTACATGACGAAAAGTCGTATAAACTTCTAAATAATTAAAAAACAACGGTTAATTACAGCATAAAATTTCAATTGATTTAAATATAAAAAAAATCAGGAAAAGGAATTTTAATGCAAATGCGGAAGGAGACGAAATTCCTTTTCTCTCTTCATTGTACGGATTGAAAATTTATGTCCAACATTGAACCGCTTTTCAACATTTAGTTCTGCCCTGCTTTAGTGTGCCACGGTTTGTTCTTCCTTGTACACACGCAAATGCAGATCGGCTTGATACAAAGAACAATGGACAATAAAGTGCTCCACATGTAACAGAGCCACCTTTGAGCCTTCTGCATTTTTAAGTAGTTTCCAATTAGCTGTATCTTTGACATATCTTTCTAATTTCGAAAATTTTCAAAAATAAAATACAACTTCTTAATATTTTCATGAATTTATAATTTTTAAATTCCAGAAAAAATAAAATTTGATAAATAAGTTAATAAAGTTTAAAATCAAGATTTTTACACTCTTTTCTTTTAGTTAATTCCAATCTTGTCAAATAATCTGCATAATTTGTGTTATATAAAAGCCCATCAAATAATAAAACGGACCAAAACAGCCCATTTGGCGAGACATTCGGTCGTTAAAATTCGATATCGGCCATTGTGGCTAATGTGCATTAGGAGTGCATAAAAGTGCCATAAAACGAGTCCAGAAGTGGAAGCCTAATGGGTCGAAATGAAGAATTACACGCTCCACCCATGCTAGATTTCGCCATCGTCAAACGCGAGATGAATTGAATTCAAGGTCTGCGATTCTAGGTGACGTCACGTGCGTGGTCTAGCGTAATCGGGGGCCGTGGGTGTCGCGCGCGCTTATGCCGTTGGCCTGACGATTCCTTACACTTTCAGCTGCTAACCGTTTGGGAAGAACAATCGCCGCGTGCATTATGCTAATCACCCGCGAGATTCAACGTAACAATGAAATAATAATAAAGCAGAGGGCCTTTGACTCACGTTGGCGGAACTCTAATTTCGACTTGTAAAACATATGATGATGGAAAATGCAAATTTTCGAGAAGTTTACATCAAGAGAGGAAAATAGAATAACAAATTTTTTATGCTTCAGTTGCGTAATCAATTTAAGAAATAATATTAATGGATTTTCACGAGTAAATTAAATTATTAAAGTACATTTTTAGCGTCCAAACGTGACTTATTTTTTAACCGAACATTGATGGAAGCCATATTATCTTGTCTTTAGAAACACATCGTGTGTTCCCTAAAATTGATTAAAATTTACCAAACAAATCTCATAAAATCGAGCGTTGTGCACTTTTATGGCATCTAAATAAGTAAAAAGCAGAGCGAATTAGGAATCAAACAAAGAGCGGCCGCGGATGAATTAAAATGAATGAATGAGTGGGATTCGAAAACGCAGTCGGCGGTCCCAGCTTTCGGCTGTCAAAACGAGAGATGTCTACATCTCAAAGTGATGTAATGAATGGGATTAGTTACACCCAAAACGCGGATGATGAATTGCCAGCGACGACTTTTCATACGCCACTGCACTTGGTTAAATGTAGTATTTGAGCAATACCGCGGTTTCAATGGAGAGCGAATTAATATTTTTAATGCTTTTCCCGGCGGTGGCGATTCTATTTATAGTCACGGCAGGAATTATTTGTTGGTTCTAGAGCAAATTTCATTTAAACATTTTTATCTCCAGCAAAAAGAAGTTCATAAATAAAAAAAACTATCTCTTCATCAAGACGTTTTAAATTCTTTCATCCTGCTCACTTTTTCTTTCTGTCGGGAGGCAGATAATTTGTGCAATAAATAATCTCTACTTAAAATAAACACATAATCACTTGGGATTGAATATTGTTTTCAATGCTCAACTCATGACCCTGAACTTGCATGCACAATAGGAGATAAAATTGGAATAAAATTTCAATTTCGAATTTTGATTTATGAGAAACGCTAAAAATTCCAATGCGCTATTCTAATGGCGATGAACTTTGGTCCGTCGACATTTTAGTTTGGAAAAAAATGAAACATAAAAAAAGATCTGAGCTGCTTACAATCTACCTTGTACACTACAGAGAAGGTAATCCTCGGCGATAAAAATGATGTTTTTATCTGTGACTACCTCTAGAAATACCACTCGAAAAGCATGCTGATAGATGCGTGAAACAAAAGCAACCGCGATGAAAACTGCGTTTAAGGCTATGTGAAGTTTTACTTTCCAACTAACTATAAATGAAAACATCTTTGCAAATCAAGATCTAATCAGTAACGAAAGCTAGATAATATTATTTTCTTGGTAAAAGCACACGGAGTGATCTTGTTTTTTTTCTCTCCAAAAATTTATCAATATTCAACCTTACTGTGAGACGAAAAGGCAAATTTCACTAAAGCGATTTGCAACATCCTGCTCGGCGGATATTTGTTTACCTGCAACAGACAAAAGGACAAAAGATTAGTCAGTGGCCAGATAAGAAACGCACACACGAAATTACAAGATTTCTCGGGAGAAACGTGAATTTTTAATGCCTGCGTTTTCTGGAGTGCATCTTGAAGAAAACGAGAACGCGCGCCTCATTATTATCGCATTATCATCCAAATTATAAAAAAAAATGTCTTCTTTAGGTAAACAAACAACAACAAGAAGTGGTTGGTGTGAATTTGAGAGACAAGAATTAAGTAGCAAGTTGACAGCAGTGACGAGTTTTGACCGACAGGCAAAATTAGGAAAGAGCTGCTGCAATCTTTTTTCAAATCTAATCCAACGCAGTTTTAAAAAGTTTGAGGCTAACCTAAAAGTGTAAATTAATGTTTCCAATCAGTTTCATTAAAATTTAAAAACATTATACATTCTCAATATAATAATTTTTATTTTGAAGTGCGAGACTTTTAGATAGTTTCAAATTTCAGCTCAGGCGTTTGCACTTTTCAACGCGGAAGCGTGACGAATTACTTTAACAATTAGTTATCAATTCGCCGCCCAGTTTCTCCGCACAATCGCGATTGTTTATATTCTGACTGGCGAGTTTTCCGCTGTAAACGTGTCCGATTGCGCCAGCTGATTCAGTGAAAGAGGAAGAGCTGCTTTTGTTACTTTTTCACTTTTCGCCACGGTTGCGTCAATTAAAATCCAAGAGCACAACCGATTTTGGAGCGCGAATTTCCGCTCCGGTGGGCGCGAGCGGGAGAGTGTCTCTCTCTCTCTCTCTCCACGGCTAATGACTAATTTCGGCCGTTTTCCTTTTCAGCTGGCGAAACCCACGCATCGTCGAGATCTGTGTGTTTTCTTTCATGACGAGCAACACACGGTAGATTAATATTCAGCGAATAGTTTCTAATTCATGCAGATCTTTCTGTGCAATAGAATATGAAAAGCT